GTTGTCTCCTAATGGTTAGACTCAGTTTCTGGTTCTAATCTCACTGGACTTTCTGGGGCTCTTCACAGCCTCTGTGACGTGATGCTGTCCTGCTGTCCTCCAACTTCCCCACCTTTCCTTCTCATCTTTTCCAAGGACTCTCTTAAGTGTCAGAGTTCTCCAGGGGTCTCTCTTCAGTCTGCTGTTTTATGGACCCTCTGTGACTGGTCACATCCATTTACAGTTTCTACCTACATGTCGCTGACCTCCAAATCTCTAATCCTGTCCCAGAGCTCTCCCACGTGTTGCTTTCTTATAAATGGATAATGGCATGGAATGAAGCCCAGGCTCCCTGGTTAGCATGGCACATGAGGTCCTCTCTGGAATGGGCTACGGACCCTGCTCGTCTCTCCAGCCACAAAGCTCTTCCTTCTTCCTGCAGCTCCCATCACACTGTGCTGTTTCTAGCCCATGCTTAGGCCCAGGCTGGCCGTTATGCTTCTAACACCCTCACTCACCCGCTGCATCCTTGACTTTGACTGACAATGCGCTCCTTTCCCTTCAGGCTGTGCTCGGTGCCTTACGTACTTACATACTCACTCTACTCTGTGCACACATCTCTCAAAGCATTGACTGCATTGTGTCAAAATCATGTCCTTATGAATCAGTTCCTGCCCTTCATCTGTGAGGTTCCTGAGGGCAGGTGTTGAGTCTTATTCATCTTGGTACCCCCCTCACAAAGCACAAGGTCTGCCATGTTAGAAGTGCTCAACAAGCAGGTGTTGAACGGAGCTGGTAATTGCACTGACTATATTAGGCTCTGAGAAAAACTAGTGTAACAAAACATGGCTTCCCCCATTCTTTTGCAAAAATAAAACCACTACAATTAAAGCCTTACCAGGTATTTTCACATGTGAGTCCATCTGTTTTATGAGGTTGTTTTCTTAGGATTGAATCAGGCCGTAGAAAGAGTACTCGACCATGATCAGGGTGCCAGGGTGTGGCCCTCTGTAGACACAGTGGACGAGTCTGGGCGTGGGCTTGGTCCCTAAGGAGGGCAGCAGTGGTGCTGCACTACACTGCTGCAGGCGTGCTCATGTGGGCCACCCATGAATGGTCCCTAAGGAGGGCAGCAGTGGCGCTGCACTACACTGCTGCGGGTGTGCTCACGTGGGCCACCCATGAATGGTCCCTAAGGAGGCAGCAGTGGTGCTGCACTTCACTGCTGGGGGTGTGCTCACGTGGACCACCCATGAATGAATGGTCCCTAAGGAGGCAGCAGTGGTGCTGCACTACACTGCTGGGGGTGTGCTCACGTGGACCACCCATGAATGATGGTTCCTAAGGAGGCAGCAGTGGTGCTGCACTACACTGCTGGGGGTGTGCTCACGTGGACCACCCATGAATGATGGTTCCTAAGGAGGCAGCAGTGGTGCTGCACTACACTGCTGCGGGCGTGCTCACGTGGACCACCCATGAATGGTCCCTAAGGAGGCAGCAGTGGTGCTGCACTACACTGCTGCGGGTGTGCTCACGTGGACCACCCATGAATGATGGTTCCTAAGGAGGGCAGCAGTGGCGCTGCACTACAGTGCTGTGGGCGTGCTCACGTGGACCACCCATGAATGGTCCCTAAGGAGGCAGCAGTGGTGCTGCACTTCACTGCTGGGGGTGTGCTCACGTGGACCACCCATGAATGTCCAGTCCGCCCTCAGCATGAAAATAGCTTGTCCTTCAAGGAAAGGTAGTCTGAGTTTATTAATGAAAATGAAATTCTTCATTAGACCCTAACAGTGCTTTTAAGATGGACAGAAAGCCCCTCCAAAGACAGATAAGATAAATTGTATCCAAATTGTCCTGGAGCTATTTCCTACGTTTTGGAGGATGTGAAATAAATAATTACATAGCTTACTGTATTTTCTAAAAAGATATTGAAGACATGTATTTCTTCATCATGATTTCCTATGACTGTTTCATTCTTCAGTTACACAATTTAAAATTACTGTTCTGAGGAGTGATTTCACATTTTCCCAATGAGAAATAAAAATGAGGTCTTAAACCAGAAATGAAACCTTCACAATGTCTCTTTAAATTTTTATACTGTCCCCACCAGCAATTCACGGTTAATAGATTGCATGTTTAACATTAATATCCACATTTAAAGAGATCTCTGGTTACCTAACACAATTTCTTTATTCCTTTTAGTAACTAATTTAAATTCTTAAAATACTGGCGTTGTTAAAAGCATCTCAAATATTCTCATCTTGTTTTTTTTCTAGAGCAATTTTATAAACTTGAAAGGACCAAATAGCTCATATATCTTCTTCTTTTACTTCTTAGAATTAGAATACTTTTACTACCTAGGAAACAAATGCCTTTGAAATGTATACATTTTGGTAATAATCGGTAACATTACCTAACTTCCGAGGTTATTGGTCGGGAGGAACATGTTACACTGTTTCCTTATTAAAGAAAAGCAAGGCATTACACTAACTTCATAGTTTGTCATTGTGACCACATCAAATATGAAAGTAGGATTAGCTACACAAGCTACAATTATTGTTTTCAATAATAGAGAATGATAAAATCTCTTCAGAGTCTATTTGCATCCCCTGAGAGTGTGCCCTTTTCCAGCAGATGTTTCAGAACGTCAATTACCATGTCTGAGAAATTTTGAGGCGTTATTTATAATTCCTTGAAATGAAGCTAGACTCTTTCCACAGTAAGCATTTTTAAATAAGGGTCCATCAGTGAATTTCAGGGACTAGTGTTACCCAAAATTGTCAGCAAAAAAATTTTTATGTGCATTTTTCTGGGGAGAGGATCCATAGCTTATACCAGATTTTCACTGTGACTAATAAAAGGCTAAATTCCACTGAGAGAAGGAGCGCCTGCTATGGGCATTCTTCTTTCTGTCCTTTCTTTTCCTCCAGTGTCTTCTAAACTCAAAATTTATCAGAAACTCACTGAAATAAAAATCACAAAACCCAGACTCTCCTTCCAATTGTCCTACTTACTATGAGCCATGTGGTTTTGGGCAAACGGCACGTATCTGAGATTTAGTTTTCTTATTCTAAAAGATGGATAGTAATGCCCTAAGTTTCCCCCACAATGGGGAGGGCGTGGCCTGAGTTATCCAAAGCCCAGAGCCATCATCTGATTCCCCTCTCCTGGAGGGAGATAGATGTATCAATAAATCAAAATAACAATCCGAATGTAAAGGAGGAAGTCATTTTCAGGGTTAAGACATTTTTTAATTTCAGTCATCAACTGTGTATTGAAAAAGATGTCAAACCAGGAAAGAAAAATGTGATTTATTTTGTCATTTCAGAGGAGAGACCCAGCCTGGTTGCCAACCATGCTGGCTCAGAGTGACAGCAATGGAAGAGTGCTCTTGGATAAAGTCATTCCTGACAGCATCCTTACTGACATTCTTTATAAGACACATTTTGCTACCATTGCATTAAATTTAATTTATATTATAAATGATAGTAAGGCAGTTGCCTTAAAAATTGTCACTCCATCTGTATTGTAAAATTGCTCCATTTTATTGCCCTGGTTTATTGTGCTGTCTCAACCACACACCATAGTCTGTCCCATATGAGACACATCAGAGCAGCAGCCCTTTTGATGGTTAAAAATCTCAGACAAAATAATGTATACATAAAGAGCCCAGAAATGTTTAGTTTAAATGATCTTCACAAAATTCAATACTTTCTACAAAAGTACTGCTTTTTCCCCCATTCTCTTCTTTTTCTTTCTCTCTCTCATTCATTCTCTCAATAAAAGACAACACTGAAAAATTGAGAGTATATAGTACAACTTACTATCTGCCAATTACTGCACTCAGCACTAATAAACGCATTTATTACATTAATGAATTAATAAATGTATTAATTCATTTAATGCTCATTACAACCCTATGAAGGAGGTACTAAGGATACCTCATTTTAAAGATGAGGAAACTGAGGCACAGAGAGAGTCAGTCGCCCTTGGCTTAAATGTGAATGAGCTCCAATGTCAGGCTTCTGAGTCTCAGCTGTCACACGCAATGAGACGATAGTGACATAAAGATAGGACACTGACATCCACTCAAATGTCAGCAAGTATTTCTTGAGCACATACTAAGTGCTGGATTCCGTCTTCTGGTGCTGGAAATATAAAGGTGAATAAGATGCAGTCCCTGCTCTCGAGAAGCTTACTGTCTGTTGCCGTGCTGTCTAATATGGCAGCCAAAAGCCACTAGGTGCCTCTTTAAATTTAAATTTAAATAATTCTAATAAACAGTTTAAATAAAGTACCTAATAATTTATATGTAGAATTTATGTATTTTTAATAAACTAAATTTAAATAATTTAAATAAATATGAATAATTAAAATTAAATAAAATTTAAAATTCTGTTCATCAGTTACTCATATTTGAGAGCTGAATAGTCACATGTGACTACTGGCTACCATATTGGACAACACAGATTAGAACAGTTCTGTCATTGCAGAAGGTTCTACTGGACAGTGCAAGTTGTGTTTGGGTGGGAGTTGGGGAGGACAAGTAAACAGGGAAATTTAATAGCCTTGTTTAAGAACTATGTAGGGTGGCAGGGCACCCTCAGAGCACAGAAAAGGGGACCTGAGTCAGGCCACAGGATCTAGAAATGCTTACCATTGTAGGTAACCTCTAAGCCAAGATGAAGAAAGTTAACTGAGAAATAGGCAGGCAAAGAGAGGAAATGGGACCTTAGAGGCAGAGGCAAGATGTTTCTTAGCTATTTTCTAGCGTGACTCTTCCAGATCAAACATTTGGTACTGAAGTTCCACCCTCAAAGAACTGGACTATTAAACCAAAGTGCCTGGGAGCCCAGGGTGGAAATGGGCCGTGGGACGACAAGAGGACACGCCCGTCCTCGTCCTGACGCTCTTTGGCCTCTGCCACAGGGATGCTGCGCTGCGTCACACAGCACAAAGTCTCCTTGGGCTCTTATCCTGCAGTCCCATTAATCAGAGACTCTCACCTGTCATTCCAGATCACGTCAGTGCGAGATGCTTCAGGCTGTGGCTCAGTCCTATTAGGGTAGGTTCTCTTTATTTTGCTTTAGTCCTATTTCTCAAAACAGAGAGAATGTTATAAAGCAGTAACAATTATGAGAATTTCAAAAGCTTCTTTGCCCACCAAGCCAAGTTCCAACAGCTTAATGGGGTAGATTTGTATCTCATTATTTTCATAATAAAGAATATTGTAGCATGGGGCTTTTGCAAGAAACATTATTGAATTTTGAAATAATAATCTTGTAACTTTTCCTCCGCATTTTAAGGGCATAAGTTTGGCAGTTTCATTAATATGGTAAAATCATAGATATGAACAAGGATTTAATAAGCTATACACACAAAAACCCATTCTCAAAGGACCCACTTAGCAGAATATTATTCATTAATTCATTGGCACAGGATTATATGAATCCACAAAGGACTTAGAAATGAGTGACTTACAAGACTAAGTAGGAGAATATACAAATTTTTACTTCTAGGTCATCAGTTTTCATTTTTCTGAGTTGAATAAAACTAAGAAGATTTTTGACTGAAAGTAAACTTTGGCTTATGCGTATGTCTTAACCTAAATTGGCCCCATATTTTCTTTAATCTTTATTTACCTGGAAAGCCCCATGACTGTTGCGCTTTTTTTAAATTAGATTCCTATGTCTTTCCTTCTTATATAAAAAGACACCAGGAGAGAGAAGGCAGACAAGGTCTGGGATTGAACGAACATTTAAACTTCATCTCCTGAAATTTTTTTTCATAAATAGCCTCAGCGTGTGCATCTGTAGTTATTGTTTCAACCTACTCTTCTGTAAACTGCAAGTAACCTCAATCACAAAACTCATTGTTTGCCTTTCACAGCATCTTTCATTTGCAAGGCTTTTGCAGGACACAGCACAATTTCCTGTTTATCATCACCCTGGATCCACACAGGAGCCCTGTAGTGACGGGACAAGTAACATCACCACGATTTTAGAGTGGGGAAACTGAGTCTCAAATAGGTGGAAATGGAGACCCAAGATGGTTCAACTGGCCCTCAAACCTAGTGTTCTGGCTCCACATTCAGTGCTCTTTTCACTTTGAGGCAATAAATCCAGGAAAATAGAACAAGAACTAAGGGAATCCGTGTTGCTCAAGGTCAGTCTGTCTATCTTACGAGCACAGGCAGAGAAGGCACAATGACTGGTGAGTTCTTCTCGTTGCAGTCACATCATTGGCCTAGCTGGTTGTGACAGTGATTAGAAACACAAAAACCAGCTCTGAGAAGAAATGCTTAATCTGAGTTCAAAGGGATGTTGGCTCTGGAAATTCCAAGAAAGGCAGGTCCTCTGCAGTGGGGAGCACACGAGGCGGGTGCTGGGGAGGCGAGGAGCATGGGAAGCCTGGGAAGCAGTGAACACACCCTTCTAGCACTATTCCAAGGCACTCGTCCTGAACCATGCAAGGAAGCATTGCTGACTCTGCTGACTGAGAGGAGAGAATGGCAGAGCTGGAAAACACTCTAGAAATCAGTTCCCTCAACCTCTTCATAAAGGAAGAAACTGGGCTTCAACAGGTCGTGCACTCATCTGATGTCCTACAGCTTGACAAAGCCAGGACTGGAACCATGTCCCCTAATTCCAAATGCACTGCTTCTTAGCAGAGACTAATTCAGCATTAACCAAATTAGAGTTCCATAGAATTCTAGCACCCTGTGAGATGTGAATAGATACTCCTAAAAATAAGTAAATAAATAAGATATGGGTTTCCACATTCAAAAAAGTTTGGGAAATGCAGAGTTAATCACATTTGAGAAGCTTTGTTTACTGCACAAATTCTCAGAACCTAGAACATGGTAATATGCCCTGTGTATTCCTAAGAACAGTTGTAGATAGTGTATGTGATTTCTCCACATTTGTTTACCATGAAACATTTTTTTGAGGAAAACGTATTACCATATGTCACATGATATTAAATTTCCACAGAGTATAGTTTGGGAAAGCCACCTAATATTGTGAGATGTTCTCAATGGACTTTCGAGAATTAATTTGAGTAAGGTTTTTTCTTTAATGCTTGAAAAAGACAGAAAAAAGGAAATTGTTTCAGCTTCTGGCAGGACAACTCTTCCACAAAAGAACTAGATTCCATAAAACATAATTTTATTGAATTTCCAGGCTCATAGAAAGAAAGGAAACAGTTCAAGGGAGTTCCCAACCTCTAAAAAGAAACCATGAACTAAAACTTGAGCACCGATCCATATACACATGTACACACACACTTAGACACGTGGGAGAAAGGAAGGCAGCGTTTTACATATGTTTGTATATAAAATGAACATAAGGAAAAATACCTATATCAGGACTGCAATCAGGAGACTAAGGCAACAAAGACAAGCTGAACCTGAAACTAAATTAAACTGAATTAAATTATGGTCTGGGTGAAGATGCTAAAGCGATCCCAGGTAGCATATCTTGGCATCTTAGCAAAAGCAAAAACACATCTTCTAAGGAGATAAACATCTTCAATGTAAGTTACAAAGCTCGAATCAGGATCACCCAACATAAAGAAATAAATGATCATGAGTGACTCATCAAAGAAAAAAGATTTAGGCCCCCAAGAATTTTAAATACAATGTTTATAAGATAAAATTGTTAAATAGTTATGTAAGTAATATTTTTTAGAAAACGTAAAAGAATGGCCTTCTGCTTCCAGGGAGATGGAGTAGACGTACTCGTCCCTATTCTACTCATTAATTACAACTAAAACCCTGGCCATTATACAACACAAACATAGGAAGACTGTGAAAAGTGGACAGAAGAAGGCGGACTACCCAGGAAACTCAGGACTTAAGGAGAGGTAGTTGATAAGCCCCTGGGTTTTCTTTTTGCCTCATATATCCCAGATTTGGAGCCAAAGAATCTGGCAACCCAGAGACACCAATGCGTATGGGGCCGTGGTGCGGGGAGCTCCAACAAAAGCCTGGTCTCTCTAGCAAAAGGCCAGTAAAGGGACAGCCTAGCAAGACAAAAAACTTTTGTACAATAACTGCCCTCTAAATGCAACTGGAAAAATCATGGCCCCCCACACCAGCAGAGGCCAAGTGGGGAACCTGGACTTCCACCGTTCCACTGCTATTAGGAGACACCCAACGCCCCACTAGGGTAGTGTCAGAGAAGGCTAAGTGGGGAGCCAGGACTTTTATCCCAGCTAGCCAGTAACAATTTCTCCACCCATGGTATCAGTAGAAACCACGTGGGGTCCTAGACTTCAGTCCACACCCAGCAGTAACAAAATGCCACTCTAACTTCCCACTGGGATGGTGTCAGAAAAGGCCTAGTTGAGAGTCAAGATTTTCACCATCACCCAGTGGTAGTGAGGCCACCACCACTATGGTGTCAGTGAAGATCACGTGGCAAGTCAGAACTCCACTCACTCCCAGCAGTAATGAGAAGCCCCATGTGGTATCAAAGGAAGCTGGGTGGAGAATCCAGTTCTGCTTCCACCCGTCATTGACAAGGCAGCATCCTTCCCTTCCCTACTCAAATAGAACATCTAAGTAGGATCCAAAATCTTATAATACTAAAATGTCCAGATTTCCATTGAAAAGTACTCATCATACCAGGCACCGGGATCTCAAACTGAAAATGGAAAATGAAAAATCAATTGATACATGCCCACACTGAGATGACAGAGATGTTAGAATTACCTGGAAATTATTTTAAAGCAGTCTTTATAAAAATGTTTCGATGAACAAATGCAAACACACTTTGAACAAATGAAAGTCTAATGAATGAACAAAAAGAAAGTCTGGCAAGGAAGTAGAAGATATAAAGAAGAACCAACTGGGAATTTTAAATGAAAAATTTAACAACAAAAATAAAAAGCTCAGTGGATGGGATCAACAGCAGAATGAAAGGAACAAAGGAAAGAATCAGTGAACTGCGAAATAGAACAATAGAAATTACCCAATCTGAACAAGGGAGAAATAGACTGAAAAACAATGAAGAGAGCCTCATGGACCTGTGGGACTTAACAGTAAATCTACCATTCATATCATCAGAGTCTTGGAATAGGAGGAGAAAGAGGGTAAGGCTGGAAAAGTATTCGAAGAAATAATGAGTGAGGGGCCAGCCCCACGGCCTGAGTGGTTAAGTTCACGCACTCTGTTTAGGTGGCCCAGGGTTTTGCTGGCTCAGATCCTGGGCACAGACATGGCACTGCTCATCAGGCCATGCTGAGGTGGTGTCCCACATAGCACAATTAGAAGGACCTACAACTACAAAATGCAACTATGTACTGGGGGCCTTTGGGGACAGGAAGAAGGAGAAAAAAAAAAAAGAAGACTGGCAACAGATGTTAGCTCAGGTGCCAATGTTTAAAAAAAAAAAAAAAGAAAGAATGGGCGAAAATGACAGGAGACATAAACCCACAGATTGAACAGGATAAACCAAAAGAAATCCATGCCAAGGCACAGCATATTTAAACTTCTAAAAACTAAAAACAGAGGACATATTTTGAAAGCAGCCAGAAAAAAATCACATGATGAGACAGGGGAGAAACCATTAGAATTACAGCAGACTTCTTATCAGAAATCATGGAGGCCAAAAGAAAGTGGTCCAGCATTTAACAAGTGCTGAAAGAGGAGCTGTCAATCCAGATCCTATAGCCAGCAAAAATATCTTTCATTAATGAAGAAGAATTTAAGGCATTCTCAAACAAAGGAAATGAAGGAAAACTGAGGCTTTGTCACCAGCAGACCTACCCTACAGGAAAGGCTAAAGGAAATTCTCTAAACAGAAAGGAAATGATAAAAGAAGAAACCTTGACATATCAGGAAGGAGGAAAGAACACAGTAAACAAAAATATGGACAAAGCAACAAACTTTCCTTCTCCTCTTAAATTTTTAAATTGTGTTTGACAGTTGAAGCAAAAATTATAACACTGTCTGGTGTGGTTCTAAATGTATGTACAGAAATACATAAGACAATTTTATTATATATGGGGAGGGTAAAAAGATGTAAAGGGAGGTTAGATTTCTGTCTTTCACTTCAACTAGTAAAATGATGACACCAGTAGACTGTGACAATTTTATATATAAAATATGATACCTAGAACAAGTACTAAAAAGGCTAACCAAAGAGATAAACTCAAAAACACTGTATATAAATCTAAATGGAATTCTAAATTATGTTCAAATAACCCACAGGAAGGAGAGGAAAATAATGCAGGGAAATGAAAGACAGAAAAAAATACAAAAAAAAATAAAATGACAAATCCTAACATATCAATAGGTACATTAAATATAAATGATCTAAATACATCAATTAAGACAGAAATTGACAGAATGGATTTAAAAACATGATTCAACTATGTGTAGTCTACATGAAACTTACTTCAAATAAAGCAATATAGGCAGGTTGAAAGTAAAAAAGAAAGGGAAAATATATATCATACAAACATTAATCAAGGAAAGCAGAAGTGGCTGTATTAGTATCAGATAAAGAAAACATCAGAGCAAAGAAAATTACCAGAGATAAAGAGGGGCATGATATAACGATAAAAGAGTTTGATCAACCAAGAAGACGTAACAGTCTTAAATGTGTATGCACCAAATTTTACAAAATGGAAAATATATGAAGCAAAAGCTGATCAACTAAAGAAGAAATAGATAATCTGCAATTATAACAGGAGACTTCAACACCGCTCTCAACAATTAATAGAATAACTGGACAGAAAATCAGAAGGATATAGAAAACTCAACACCACCATCATTCAACACAATCTAATGAGCATTTATAGAACACTCCACCCAACAACAGCAGATACACAATGTTTTCAAGTGGCCACAGAACATGTGTTAACATAGAGCACATCCTGGGCCATAAAAAGGAACTTCAACAAATGTAAAACAATTGAAGTCATACAGAGTGTGCTCTCCAACCACAAGGGAATCAACCTGGAAATCACTAACAGAAAAGTGGTAGGTATATCTCCAAGAAAATTTCCACTTGGAGACTAAAGCACCCATTTCTAAATAATCCATGGGTAAAAGAGGAAGTCTCAAGGGATTTTTTTTTAATTACCTTGAATGAAAATACAATGTGTCAGGATTGGTGGGACACTGCTAAAGCAATTTTGAAAGGGAAATTTATAGCACTAAGTGGAAAATATTAAAAAGAACAAAAGCCTCAAACTGTTCATTTAAGCTCCCACCTGAAGCACCTAGAAAAATAAGAAAGCAAAATAAACCCAAATCAAGCAGAAGGAAGGAAATAATGAAAGTAAAAGCAGAAATCACTGAAATGGAAAACAGAAAAGCAATAGAGAAAGTAAATGAATCAAAGAGCTTGAAAATATCAATAAAATGGACAAACCTCTAACAAAAGAGACAAACAGAAAGGCACAACTATTGTTGTACAAAAGCTTGTCCAAAAATGTTCATAGCAGATTTATTCATGGAGTCAGTCTGGATGTCCTTCCACAGGTGAATGGTTAAACAAACTGTGGAGCATCCGTATCAGAATCCTACTCAGCCATGAAAGGGTGAACTGTTGATACACACAACAGCCCGGATGAATTCCCAGAGAATTAGAGAGTGCAAAAGACAATCCCAAAGGTGATATAACATATGATTGCATTATATACAATTCTTGAAAATGACAAAATTACAGAAATGGAGGACAGAGTAGTGTCTTCCAGGGGCCAGGGAGGAGAGGAGGTGGAGGAAAGTGGGTGCAGCTATGAAAGGGCAGCAAGAGCGATCCTGTGGTGATGGAAATGATCTGCACCTGGACAGTATCAGTGTCGACATCCTATTGAGATATCATTGTACTACGGTTTTGCAAGAGGTTATCATTGGAGGAAACTGGGGATCTCTCTGTGTTATTTCCTACAACTGCATGTGAATCTGCAATTTTTCAAAAATAATTGAACTTAAACAAATGAATAGGATAGAATAAAGAAGAGACTATAAAATGATCAAGAATGTTTAAAAATTAAATGGAACTTTTAAAAGTTATATAAAATTTCTGGGTAAGGCCAAATAATTTAACATAAGCATCTACTTTTGCTCTGTCTTTAAACACCAAAATTTGTCCACTAAAGAGAAAGACGTGGAGATTGTTGCTCGAGCTTTGCCTGGAGGGGCAAGGAGAGCAGAGGTGCTGAGACCATGAGGTAAAGTCTTGTGATTTAGAATGTTTTGCTTTCAGAATGGATGTGTCCATCTAGAAAGCAACCTCCTTTTGTTCCTGAGAAAAAGAAACACCATGGAAGTGGGGAGCGTCTTCTTCTTTTTTAAACAGTTTATTAGCAAGCAAAGTAGGAGAGTGAGTTCTATTGTGCAAGTAATAACTCACTCACAGTTGGACTCATAACCTCTCAGAAATGCTCTCGTAAGATGTCAAGAACTTCTCTTCATGTGTATTCTCCTGTGGAAAGCTTAATATTTATTCAAAGAGTCCCCAAAGAGCATTAACAAGTCCAGGACTCACTAGTTGTGTGACCACATATTAGCTTGTGTGGTCCCTTAGTAGTTGTCACCTACCTGAGTCACTTTTCCCGCCTCTTGGAATTTCCAATTGAGTAAAATGCCCCCACCTGCTTCTTGAGGACTATGATCAGGCAGGTCTCTATTTCACATTGATAACATTGACTTTCACATTCCATCCCATTCTATTCCATTCTACAATATGAGTTAATTTATGACCCAATTCCAAATACTATGAGAAAAAAATTGCATATTCTTTAAGCTCAGTTTTTGATAAATTATGTCTACTTGAAATAAAATCATAGTAGAGGAGGTTTTGCTTAGAAATAATTTCTTTAATTCTAAACAGATTGTAAGGAAGTATGGTCTGTGGGCAGAATTTGCAGAGATAAATGACTACCAGGGGAGAAAGTCATTTAGTGGCGGATTCCTGGGAACTTGGATCTGGAAAAGACTCTAAAGAACATTTGGTCCAATCAAAGACTTTTGTCTCCAGCAGTTGGAATAGATGGATTTTTGGTAGGTTAATGAACGCTTCATCATTTGCACAGTTCAAGACCACATTAGACAGTTATTTCACACCTGAGCAAGTGTACTTAGAAATGTTTTCCTTGAGGAGAACCAGTTTCCCTCCTTATAACTCCCAAACTTTGATCCTAATTCTGCCTTGTGCTATAAGATAGAAACATCTCTCCCTTGCCTACACGACAGCCCTTTCAGTGTTTGCAGACAGCCAGTCCATCTTCCCTAGTCTTCTTGGTTGCAGCTTAAATAGTCTCTGTATGAAAAGTCCCAGCATATACAGGCTGTTATGACAAAAGAAACCTAACCACCATATGCTGCTTTGAAAATACCCCTCGGAGAGGCAGGGTGCAGTTTCTAGGAGAGCATGTTATTGTCGAGTGTCAGAAATTTGCAGTTGGTCTTGGCTCCTGCTGTTTCCAAATGTGTGACCTTAGGGAAGTCCTCTACCTTCTAACTTCTTGTGCTGCCCTTGTAATGTTTTGTTATCAGAGTTAAGCTAATTTTATCAAATGAGTTGGGTAGTGTTCCCTTTTTTTCTATAATCTGGAAGGGTTTGTGTATGAGGTCTGTCTCAAGTGGTAAAGAAAATAAAATTCCATAAAGTGACAAATAACATTTTGACAAATTCCTATCAAGAAAGAAGATCTCCGTTCAAACTTACTTTATACCAATATTAACCAAGAATTGTTAGTCAAACCTCTCTTCTAGTTGAAATATTGTGAGTCCTTGTTAGGCACAGGTAAAATACAAGGTAATTATGTGGAGGTTTTAATGGGAAGAACCAAGATGTAAGGATAGAGTTTCCCAGCATTTTTACCCATCACCAAATTTTATATACATATATATGCATATATATACACACACACACGCATACATATATATACATATATAAATGCAACAAAGATTGCCCAATACATACTCTTACTATGTGCAATACATTATGACATTTTGTATTCTAGTCTAGTCTCTTTATAAAACATTCCAGTTATAACTGACTTAGTTGATTTCATGACATATTAATGTGTCACCACATATAGTTTAAAAAATTCTACTTTAGGGGTCTTGGGACTTGCTTCAGACCATGCTATGAATTCTCTATGTGACTTACGTTACCTAATGTCTCTGTGTCTCGGCTTCCTGTAAAATGCCACTGAGCTCACAGACTCGCTGTAAGTATTAAACGAGATATAAGTTTTAATATTATTTTGAAAGAAGCATAAAGACT